TTTTTTTTTTTTTTAAATGTTTGCAATCCATATGTACTGTCAATTCCCAGGAGCTCTTTGGTTATTCACTAGTGTTTGTTCAGTCTTGTTTGTTCAGAGAATCATTTATCCACAGCAGATTGTCATTGCTGTAAAGAAATGATTCTCTGAACAAACAATACTTTAAGTGTTGCACCTCTGCTTGGAATAGAATTTCCTTTCAGGATGCAGCAGCCTGATATTGAACACATTCTGCTGAATTATTGATCACTCCGACACAATTGAAATGTTTTCTGTTGCTGTAATGTGCTTGCTTTTTGCATCATTTAAGACAGAAAACACAGCTCGATATGAAAAACGTAATGAATGTTTAAATGTCCCCATGTGAGATATACTGAATCAACATCAGCCTTGTTAGCCACTAAAAGCCCAATCAGTAATCAGGCTTGCTTGTTATTAGCAGGTCACGCTTTTAGGTACCGATTCCTGCAGATTCAAATGTCTCATAATTCATACTTTGGTCATCAGATACCTTTTTACCAACTTCAGTAAAACACACAAGTTGCCCTAGGTTTAACCATATGTGTGGCTCCTTGCATGGAGACATATGCTCCCAGTGTACCACCTCTGGTACGACAAGATGTACTGATACAATAACCTGAAGACTAAATTCTCTACATCATTATATCACACGAAAGAGACAGACACACTTCTACAAAACAAAATCCTGACAAAGTCTTGAGGGAAATTGGGAGGGAAATATGAGGAGGCGCCGCTCTAACAACAGCCTCACCTGCGCAGTGCATTTTCAAATCCAATTTCAGAGCAGACTGATAAAACACGACCTGGAGGTGTAAAATACACCCTCTGTGCCCTGACTGTATTAGAGCGTCTTCCCTCGGGTCGTACAGCGGTTCAGGCCACCACATGCTAAATCAAACACAGAATTTCTTGTTTTGTCCCGTGTGCAATAAACCTGCTCATTACTGACAAGAACGCTCTCCGCCACAAACCTCAACATCCCCAGTCGTTTCATTCACACACACAGTTTGTCTGTTTTTCAACTAGAGAGACAGTTC